TTGGTGCGGTTTGTTGCATGCGTGTTGTATTGCTTGTTGACGCCGCATTTTTAGTTGACTACTGATTGACTTGTCCCTCTCTGTCGAACCTTCACCTGCATTGTGATGGATCATGGGGACCTTTTACGAGAATGTCGGCATATGCTACTCGCCATCTCGTCGCAAATCAGTATTCTTCTGGCCGGACTGCAACGTCTTGAAGGTCAGCAGCGGCATCCACAGCCGCCACCCCCGCCACCAGTTCCTGACGGGCAACTACCGCCGCCACCCCCGCCTTCTACGACGCCGCCGTCCATGCCGGCAACTTCAGTTCGGCCGGATTACCCGACAGCGCCCGTCACTCTTGTGGCCACCTCGGACAACCGGATGGAGCACACTGCTCATGTCCGCACGGTGAGTGTCAGCACTTCCTGGGAGCACAGACGGAGGAGAAGGTCCAGACACCGGGAACCTCATCGGCGTCGGTCTCGCAGCCGCAGTCACCACAGGCGACCTCCTGGCCGCCCTGACGACGCAGTTCCCACGTCCCACCGCCGCGTCTCCACCGAAGTACCCGCCGGCAGTCAAGGCCATGCCGGCGTGTCGACCATCGGGTCTCTCATATCACCGTTGACGGAACACCAGCGGCAAAAGGACCTCAGTAGTTTGGCGCATGCATGGTTGCCTGCATCATGTCGTTTCAGTTCCGCAGCCTTTCTTGCTTGATTTGACCTTGCCGTGTGTTCAGTTGCCATGCAGTTGTCAGTCGAGTTTGTGAACAACCTGGTGGCGGTACTAAATGTCCTTGCATCCCAAGTGGACACCCTGAACTTTGCCCTGATGACCGAGCGAAGCAATCAGTCAGACACTAGAGTGCCTCCCAGGGCACCACGGAACTCCAGGCACGGGCTGCGTCCTCGCATCATCACAGAGCGCATTTCGTCTGATCGATCCCGCTCGCCTACTCGAATTCGAACCCGACCTCTGGACACTTCATCCACCTGGTATATACCGGCCTTATCCCCGCCTCGTGCGGCACATCGGGATGATGCTGACCGCCATTCTGGTCGTCGTGCTGAGTCGATGTTGGATCGCCTGCCACCACCACGGCCTCTTGCTTCCCAGCCCCCACACATCGGACGCGAACCAGGACAGACAACGCCTACGACGCCTGACTCGGATTCTGATGGTTCAGTCCGTCCACATCCAGGTGCATCGTCGTTCCGCCCGTCTCCTACGGTGGTTCATGGACCTCGGGAACCTCTACAAGAATTCACCATTGCCCTTCGCAATGCGCAGCTTGAACCTTTCACGGCATGGACGCACGGTGAGCTGGATGAGATGGTTCGACGGAAGCAAGACAAGGATTCCAGGCCTACCTACAAAACCATTGCCCGGTTCCTTCAGAAGCCCATTGAGGAAGTCAAGCAGGCCTGGAAGGTCTATCAGCGACTTGAGGCTCGCGGCTAGGAAGCCGTGCATCAAACGAGCCAGCGACCACCGGAAGATTAGCTCGCGGGGCGTGGCGGTGCGGTGGGGGAGCGCTGCAGGTTGTTGTGATGGTTGGGATTGCAGTCATCACTGATCACATGAATTTTGCTTGCTCATGGCCGAGCTGCTCAAATCATGTCGGAACAAGACGTGCAGACATACATTACTTGGACCCATGGAGCGCAGCCGACGTGGTTACAGTTTCACGGACCTGGCACCTTGCTTGACAGACCAATCCGGCAGACTACGTCACCTCCGCCCCCACCAAGATTTCCAATACTTCTTCCACCTCCGCCTCCCCCACCGCCACCACCACCGGTGATTCTACACCCACAGTTTATGCCCTCAGTGCGTACCACCTAGAACTCAGCTCCCCGAGGACAATCCTGCCCTGCCACATCGAAATCGCAGCGCACACGACGATCGATTTACAGCACTGACCATTCCCGTGATGATGATCCACGCAGTCCTGGGCCTTCCTCGAAACGCTCTCGAACAGCATCCGCTTCAGCACCGCGGAGATCTCGGCGACCCTTCACCGTGTTTCCCTCCAAGCGAGCCACCCGTCCATCGCTGTCCCCATCGGCAAATTGCAAGCATTACTGTCATGCCTTCCTACCAATTCCTCGGTGGACTCATCTGTTCCGGATGGGGCGTGGCGGGAACCTTCACCGCCACCATTCTATGACCCTTGGAATGATTCGGAGTGATACTTTGGCAGCATGTCGGATAAAATGACGCGGTTGTTCCTGCGTTGAGTGTGATTCCATGTTGGGTTGTCTTGCTTTGTGTTGTGCGTTCCGTCTCCATGTGTTCGCCACTTTCCTTTATGACTTCAAGCGGCTTGCCTGGTTGATATGTTCAATTCTACAATGTATGGCGCTGCACGATGGGTCCTGCCACACTACTTTGACTACGACATCGTCAATGGACCCGCGAACACAAGTGTTGAGTGGATTCGGATCTATGTACCGGGTCCGTGGCATCCAGTCGCCGAAAACACCTTGGGGCCAGCCCCGGAGGACTCAAACACCTATCGGGAGTGGCGCAAAGTATACCACTTCGAAGTGTATTGGCCAAGGGAGAGCACGGGCGGCACCAATATGGGTGCTGTTGCTCAGCCGGTCTCTTACGCATCCTTCTATACTTGGCATTATCGGGACTGGGTCACCAGAGGATATCAACGGCTGGGTCGTCCACACCCTAGCATTGCGCGTCCAGTTTTCGCTTCCGGTTCACCGGGCCTCATGTACGCCGGACTGACCTCTTCGTCAGCATCTTCAAACTCAGATGGTGGCTGATGCTCGTCCTCGTCTTCCTGGGGAGTCTATTCAATTCAATTCGATTCAGGAGATGGACTTCAACAACTGAGCCGTGCATTGCTGCAAAAGTGATTGCTTGCGTGGTTGTTGTTGTGTCTCTTGCAGTGATTGTTGTCCGCAGCCGTACACCTATCAATTTGTCTTCCCGGGTTTGAATTGTCATGCCGTGGCTGGAATGGTGTCCGGATCCTCAACAACCAGATGCCCAGTGGGTCAAAATCTTTCATCCGGGATCATGGACTCCACATGAGGAAGATGATGCTCCACCTCCGCCTCACACATACAGAGAGTGGAAGGAGTTCTATGTCCTAAATCCGGATCAAGACGGTGCGCAGCCCAATGACAGCATGTGGTACAAAAGAGACTGGGCTACAGAGGGCTATCGGAGAGTCGCTGCCCCTCAAGCTGGTCGTGACTTTGATTCGATGTCTTTTCCTGATCACCACAACGTTGCCACGCAATCCACGGCATTGAGTATGTCACCACAGATGTTGGAAGCGATTCTTAGATCCTCGGATGCGGCGGCTTTCTCCACTGAAGATCTGACTCGTCTCCAAGAGGGGATCTCTCAACAACTGTCAGATCGCGCACGTCATGCTTCCCACCCACACCAACCAGTACGTGCATCTCGTGGAATTGCACCACCGGAGACTGTTGGGGTCTCTGACCCATACCGGCCTGTGAATCCATCAGGCAGCACCACCGCGAAGGTCAAACCTATCTTCGAGCTAAATGATGACTAGACTCACGCGTGTTGGGCAGACTACAAAAAAAGGAGTGGTTTTCATACTTGCACTACCTTGCTTGGTTGATGCTTGTGCATGGTTGTGCATGGTGCCTGTCTCTTTACTAGCTGGATCTGAACCCGCGATACGCCCTGCCTCTTACTTCGTCATGGACATCGAGGATGCGAAGCTTCACCCATGGCTCGAGTACTCGGTCTGGCAAGATCAGGAGTGGGTGCGGATATATACCCCAGGACAACCTCAACGGTGGCACCACGGAGACACTGTACCTGATCTACCAGACAATTCTTTTTGGGAGTGGCAGCGGGTAACTGATCCTAGCGGGCGTGCTGGTGAACACGGTCAGGCATGGACCATTCGCGACTGGCAACATCAAGGATACCAACGCATTCTGTCTCGAAGTGAGTCCTTCACTACACAACATGCCCATGATCAATCACTTGGAGATGTTCGGAATTCCGATGCCATTCCTGTTGAGGAAACGTTCACCTATGCCACTCCTATTTCTGACGGTGATCGCTCGACTGTTTCGCAACTTGCTTCAGTCCTCCATGGCGACACTCGCAATGCTCATCGTGGTGATCTCTCGTTCCCGTCTTCTGAGCGGTTTAGGGCTGTTTCGCGTTCCCCTCGCCGCGGTGGATATTTTGGTCAACGATAGGAACACGAAGTGGAGCATGTGATCTTCCTGCCGAAAAGAAAAGAAGACTCCTCGCCCCTCATTGAGGGGCGTGTGTGTGCGGAGTGACAGAATACCCTGTCACCACCTTGGGTCGTTTTCGGAGGCAGGGGGCACGGCAGTTCATTCTCTAGCCGTGCCAACGAAGCTGTGAGAATGAGCCGGAAGGGAGTTTGGACGCAAACTCCTGTACCTGCAAGTGATTCTGAATGTCCTTTTGGCCCCTTGGTTGCGGCGCTGTTTGTGCTTCTTGTTCTTTCGGGTAACGTGTTCGCTGCTAGACGGAAGCCAAGTGACTGCAAGTCGATCCTACTCGAAACTCATCAGTTGTACTCGAGACTCATCAGTTGTACTCGAGCCTCACCAGTTGTACTCGAACGATTAGCACTCTCCATTTGGAGTTCAAGTGTGTGTGCGTTTAGGCTGTTGCAAATCCGCCCAACCGATGTCCCTGAGCAAGAACCACATATTTCAGGTTGGAGCCCGTTTGCATCAACATATTCATGGCTCATGAGTACCACGCCAGCTTGATTCATGAAGTCGTGGCCGTGGATAAATGTTACTTCGTTTGGGAAACATGGGGCGACATGCCAGTGACCCGCGCAGCCTAATTCACACACACACACAAACTTCATCGCGAACGGGCCTGGGATTCACAGGTTCCATCCATGGCAAGTTCTTTGTAGTTGCTTGATTTTGGGTGATTTGAACGTCACCTGGCCTCCTTTTGGAATGTTGTCTATAAGGTGGACAGAATTGGACTGGTGCCGCTTCTGTTCCCAGGCTCACCAAGGACCGCTTCGGCTGCCGCGTCATGCAAGCGGCACTGCAAGAGGCATCCCCTGAGTTTCTGCAGGCCTTTGCATCCGAGCTCAAGGGCAAGGCATGGAGTCGCCAAAATGTGTGCAAACATTTCGCGTTTGGGTATGTGCCAAAATAGGCACCTCAAAATGGTGGTTCCCTCGTAGTTTCCCCTTAAACCAAGGTGAGCCAAGCACACACCCGAGGCTGTTGCCCTCAGCCAGCACCTCCACGCAAACTTTGTCTTGCAGAAGTACGTGGCGTGGCTGAGCCATCGATTGTTTGACCTCCGGAAGGTTTGGATTTGGAAAGATCGAGGCTATGGCCAGAGTAAGGTCTGAGCAAGCCATTGGGGGGCGGGCTCTTGGGTGGCAGATTCAGAAACGGCTTTGGAAACGCGCGTGTCGCCTTTTTGAGCCGATAGCTCAGTGCCTGATCCTGGGATCAAACAATAGATCTGCTTTGGCAGCCCTTTTGCAAAGATTCCACGTCTGTTGGCAGTAGCTCTGATTTCTACCCCCAGGAATCCATTTGTTTTCGAGGAGGTGGGGGGTCCAGGTGGAGCTTCTGCCTGCAAGTGCTGGCGCCTTCATTCTCCAGGAGCTGACCCCCTCTGCGGGCGAGGCGAGCCAGGGCCCAATTGCACGGCCTGACTACTGAACCTGGTCCTTTTTTTTTTTCGGGGGCCAGGTGGCTGTGCACGTCTACGGCTGCCGAGTTTTGCAGCGGCTCATCGAGCACTGCTCCAACCAGCCCCAGCTGGCTGTGCTGATCGGGTCTTTGCTGAGCAAAGTGGGCCAGATCGAGAAGCTCCTTAAGGATCCGTTTGGAAGCAGCTTGCCACACTTCGCCAAGTGTTGGGCAGGGCGGAGGACGGAATCAATGACACAATAATCTAAATATGAATGATATGAGTGATGCAATACAATCTAACTTTGGTGCATTTTGCTTGGCTGTTAGGACTTTAACTTTTTGCCAACTAATGGGTTTTCCACTAAACCACTAAAAGTTAAACTTTTAGCAGGGGAGCAGAAAGCAACCGAGCTAAGGAATGATCGGGCATGATAATGATACGACCTGAACGGTGGTATGACTGCAAGCGCGCTGTGGGTTAGGCATTTGCGACAGGTTGCCATGTTCCGCAGCAGAAAGGCATCATGCCAATAGCAACTCGTGCTGTGGAGTGTGCTTGCCCTCGGCACTTGATGCATCGTGCGGCAATTGCTGCTCATATGCATCAGAAGCTTACAGAAGCGCCATGCTGGGCGCAACAACATGGAGAGTTGCAGTTGACCATTGGAAGGGCGTGTTTGATACTGTACCTGTAGTTTTCAGGCCAAAGTAGGATTCGCTCCCCTGCAATCAACTGAAGCTGCTGGAAGGCTCATGTTGCTCGAAGGACTTGAGTAGATGGGTTTGCTATGTCAATGAAAATGTGTATATATATATATATAGGTAGGATTCCGTTATAAAACATCACCCCAGGAAACTCAGCCAGAATTCGCCCTTTAGCGAGGAATATTCGTTGCCACCGTTAAATTTCAAGGGCGATTTGCCTCTCCGACGCAAACTCGTCCACCAGTCGCTGCCCTGAAAGGGCTGGCGGTGCCTCACACAGGTGAAATTGGAGATAAATTGGAGAAGGCCGGCGTTTTGTATTGCAATCTAACTAGAGCCACATGTTCCTTTTCAGAAGTTTCAGGAGCCCAGGTCTGGTGAAGGCAGGGCTTGCCCTGGACGTCTGAGGCAACGTTCTCCGTGCGATTGTGGCCCACGGGACAGATTGTCAGATTAGCGCCTCTTGGGCGCACCCCAGGTAGGGCGAAGGGTGGACATGGGAGACTGACAGCGCCCAAGGCTGGCCAAGTTGGCTACTGCGGTCGGTTCTACTCCATGGGAAAGGGGTGGCATTTGCAGGAACAGCTACAGGAAGTTGGCCAAAACCCTGCGAACACCCAGTTTGTTTGGTTTGCGTTCCTATGCAGTGGCAGCTCTTTGTTCATGGGGGTTTGATTTCGATGGCCCATGCAACTAGCACAATACAAGAGGGCTGAAAGAAAAGCGGTCAATGAGCAGATGGTTGCGACACATTGGTGTATCATGAGCTGACCGTATGGGCGCTGGGCAAAAAGGCATTGTTGAACAGAGCCTGTCTTGATTCGAAGTGCACCTTAGCTTCCTTATCCATGTTGATTTGGCGGAAAGTGGCACGTTTGACATCATGTTTTGCCTGTTCGAGGCCCAAAGGGTGGATACGTTGACGCCTGGGCATAGGTGTTGCTGGTGCACAGGCTTGGTTTTCCAGCGCGCGTCAGCAGATGACAACTGCACATTGGATAGGTTGGTTTAAACAACCAGCCCTGAACATGTCCCATCAGCTGGTTGGCCCACTTCTCAGCTCCTTTCATCAGGTTGACTCCGGTGGCCTGCTGCCCTGTTTTCAATTCTCAGGCGAGTGAGAGGCTGAGGCTGTGCCGACTTCATCCCGACCTTTCGCGACAAGCGCAGAGCACGTTTGGAACAGCAAACCAGCTATGCAGGGATCTTGACTTGATCTGCAAGAAGCTCAGACGGTGCTAACAAAGTTTGGAAGGATAGGAGCTGCAACTGCAAGATTCAGGTGATTATGGATGCGATCGCCACCAACGTGCTCAAGTTCTCCAAGCACAAGCGCCTTTTCTGACTGTGGACAGCCACTCAGGGCTTGAGCTGGTCAAACACCACCATGTTCTCTGGGTTAGCCTGTCCTTGCGGCCTGTTCCATGGGGCCAACGGTTATAACCCTTTTGGCAGGACTTACAGAAGAAACGCAGTTGAATCGATTTGCTAGGCCCCTTGCTAGGTACGGAAAATGAATGACAGCGGTATTGGCCGGGAATAGTAGATGGTGGGAATGCATGCCCGTCACCTCTTCAAATGATCGTGGATTTCAACAATGCATCATGCTTAGAGGTCCACCTGTTGGGCAAACCCCTTTGGGCTCCATGTTAGTTTGGGAGGTAAACCTGCCTTCCAAAACACTGAGCTCTAAGCTTCCATTGCCGGGTGCTCATTCAACGAGGCACGCGAGCCTGGTCTTCGAACGATGTCTCGAGACCAGCAGCGAGCGCCCGGCCTTGCGTGCGGAGCGGGCCACCTTGGTCGCAGCCCGGTCGCAAGGCGGAGGTGAAGCGTTGGCAGGGCCCCTTAGAAGCGGAATTGGGAGGGGGATGCCCCTTTGGCCGTTTCGAATGTGTGGGGAAGGCTAGATGAATCCGCACCTTTAGTTTGAAGCCACTGACACTGTGATCGGGCACAGCGCGGCAGCACAACACTGTGCCAGCGCGAGCAAAGGTGGAAAGCAGAGAATGAAAGCATAGTTCGAAGGATTTTGCTAGGGAGTTGTGAAGTCAATTCCTTTCTTTCCTGCGGTGCCTTCAGGAAACCCTGTCACAGTGGGACTTCAGAGGCCAAGCGCAAGCCGCCACAAGGATCTGGGACCACTTTCACCATTTCACCCATGTGTGCAACACGTGAGGGTTTCTCAAATTTGTGGACCCCACTTTGAGTGGTATTTGCAGTTGCCATGTTTGGTGACCGATTCCTGAGCTCGAGGCCTTGCTGCTGGGTGACGGCACCAGCCGGTCGCCGCTGGCGCAGGTTTTGTTGGACCGCTTCGGCAACTACTTGGCCCAGCGCATCTCGGATCCATTTGAATCCACGGATCGATCCGAGTTTGTTTCTGGGGTGGGGATATATATATATATATTAAGCGAGTCTTTTGGGATGTTTGGGCGTAAAGTTGGCTACAAGACTGCCGATGGTTCAGCATGCACATTCCTCAATTCGTGCGAAGGGGTCAGACTTCCTGAGGCATGATCCATTGCTGCCGTGGCCCAGAAGAAGAAAGGACCCAACAGACAGAGCCAGGTGTCGAAGTTCAGAGGCTTGGCAAGTGCCCAGGTGAAGCATGTAAGTGCAGTTGAGAGGGCCCATCCTGCCAGGATGCGAGTAGTCCCCAAGCAAGGCTCGATGTGGGAAGTTGAAAGTTCAAACCCGTGGCTTCTTGATTCCCATGAACAGAAACGCCGCAAACTGGCTAGACTTTCAGGAGCATGTTGTTTTCCAGCATCTTTTTGTGCCCATGGACTAAGGACAATGAGAACGGCTGGGTTGGTGCCTCTTGTTCACCCTTTGGCGTTGAACAGGGAATTGTGAACCCTGCGCAGCCTGGTGCGAGGTTTGTTTCCGAATCCCCTAGCCGGTATTGGATCGCCAGGATCCGCCAGCTCCTCTCGATCTGCCTCCCAAAGCTCCAGCGGTCCCCCATGGGGCGCCACATTATGGCAGCTTCGGCAAAGCGTTTCGGAAGCCTTGCCGGAGCGTAGCTCCCACCGACGACCGTTGGTGGGAGGGAGGATGGAGACGCCTGCTCTCCGCATCTCTTGACAAGGTTGCGTTGTGACCTAGCAAGCTAGCAGTCAATAGACGCAAAGTTGCAGAAAGCACGACGTGTCCATCCTCCTATCGGATGCGCCAAAGCGCAGTGCCAAGGCGTTTGCCACTTGCTTGCTAGCTGGTTTCAGGGTATTTTAATGCGGGGAGTGTTGGGTGGGTTTCGAAGGGGCAGCCACTTGAGACTGTGAGTGGGTTGCAAGGGAGTCGCGCGCCGAGGCGAATTCGGGCGACTGTTTTGGTCTTTTGCGCGGCCAGGACCGGCCAACACAGGTCTCAGACATTAGGCATCGGGCTTGTTGCAGGGACCCTGGACCCATGGGGAGTTGAGCAAGAATTCAAGAAAATAGGACTTGCGCATAGATTCGACCGCCGCGGCCTAAGCCGCATTGGCCTTAGTCTTGACATGCCTGTGGGTGGGTCTTCGGCCGTGCATGGCTAGGGGTCGCATCGGCCTTGGGAGCAGCTGCAACGGGCGCACACAGAAGGATCCCGCTTGACTAAGACACCCCAAGCAAACCAGCCAGGAGTTAATCAATCGTAGGTCCGAGTAATCTTGGGACACATCCTGCATTTCACTTAAGTCGAAGACGGTCTTCTTCTCGCGCTCCCCGAAATCTCATGCTTGGTCCTCTTGCGCAATTGTGGGTTGTCAGGCGTTCATCGGGCTACTTGATACCACAGCTTTCCTCAGTTGTGCAATGGCAACTCTTGGAACTCTTAGCCTCCTGGGCCTAGTTCCCACCTTGCCCTCGGGCCTACTCCGTGCCCCAGCTGTGAGCGCGTGCGTGCGTGCCAGGCACACTCCAACTGCCCCCCCCCTCAGCCCCACCAAAACCCGTGAAAGATGATTAAACATATTAATTTGATTTGCAACGTTTTCCGCATGATAGGGACGGCGCCGCTTTCGAGGAAAAAACACTCACTTGATCGCACACATCCCCGGTCTGATTCGCGCTTCTTTTTTTCTTAGACGACTCATTTCTACAAGGTTGAATGGTTAACCCACAACTCCCTCGCGCGGGTTGCCACCTTGTTTTTCAGGAGTTCTTTGGCCCAACCTTGTAGTTCTAGTTGTTCATCGGGTTCTTGGCCTTTGCTGGTTCAAGACCGCCGCGCCACCAAGTAAGAACTGGCTTTTTGCCGTTGCCCTTGGACATAATACATAAACACCAGCACCTGTTACAACACCAAATGAAGAGGCCCCCCCAAACAGCACCCATGCCGTCACCTGCATGCCCCTCTTGAAAAAGAATGTGCCCGCACCGTCACCAGCACCTCAAATAGCACGCACCTGCGCCAGCAGCCGTCAACCTTGCGAATCACTTTCCCCTCTTTATCAGAAGTTGTCAGAAGTTGTCAGAAGTTATCAGAAGTTAACCCCTGTAGCTTTCAGCTATCTGGGGAAATAGTGTACCACCCCGTTGCCAGTGAGGGGATGTTGTATGACAACAGTGAGCCGGGACCAACGGAAGTGGACTTCAGGAGTTTGCTCGGGTTCCGGTCCTGCGGAAGTTTCAGGTTTTTATCTTCTTCTTTGTGTCTTTTTGTCTCTCTCCCTTTCCCTCGGTACCCCCTCTCTCTCTCTCTCCCTCTCCCTCTCTCTCTCCCTCTCCCTCTACCTCTGTTTGTTGGAGGATGTTGAGGCGGGCGGGCTCCACGCCCCAGTTGTAGAGATTCAAGTCAGCTGGGCGATGCCTGATATCCTGATGACATCCGTACCAACATTGACTGAATCCATTTCCATCCACGGCATTTTGAACTAGACAACCTTTTCGTTTAGCTTGCAGTAGAGGACTCCCAACCGGAAAGCCACGCTGCGAAGCTCGTTGCTCTTGATGCGGGCGCGACCCTCCGGGCGTTTGAACGTGCAGGTTATCCCTGCAGAATGCATAGCACAGGGTTCCTGCGAGTGGTCTAGGGGTGTTGTGCGTACCCCTTTTGCATATACCCCGGGTAAAGACCCCAACATGCTCGTGGCTGTTCACACGACATTCCCAATGCATTCACTAAAAAGTGGATTAGTACTTGCATCCAGGGAGCCAAGGGGTGTACTGTAAGAAAGGGGTGAGCACTTCCACTCTTAGAAGGGATAGGGAACTGTGACGATGCGCCGGCGTGCAATTCAACCTCCGCCAGCATGTTGGACTCGGGGCACAGGGTTGCATGCCTGGTTGTCTGTGTGCTTACCAAGTGTTTCAAGGTAAGGCCTCCAAATTATGGGGAGGAGCAGCTCGCGCTTCTTGTTGGCTGACCTGCCATGGGCGCGCGATCCGCAATTCAACCAGGCCTGCCCCTGGCCCTTCTGTCCTGCCAGAAATTTGGCCGACGAGGCAGATGAGCATGAATTCCCCCATGCCCGAAGACACGCTTTGCGGTGTGGACGCTTCTCAGCGTTTACACGTGGAGCGCATGTCATTGCAGACCAGTACTCTATTCTCTCCAGTGGGTTCTTCGGGAGGGGGAAGATGGTGCGATCGACCTAGTGCCTAGAGGGGTGCCGAGTAGCAACTGTAGCCTTCAGGGTACAATACCTTGTGCGGCTGCCAGTTGTAACGATAACTCCGGCCTCCGACGTCAGATGGATTTTTGATTGTCCCAGGCAGAGCTGGGTTCTGAGAGGCATGCGCCAATTGGTCTTTTGAGGTTTTCGTCGGTTGCCGCTCTTTTAGCGGCGGAGTTTCAGCTCAACTCAGCCTGTGTCAGTACCGACACCATGCACCAAGAGTTATGTCAGTCACCCAACGCTGAATTGTGGCTGGAGGATGATCACTGCTTATGTAATCCTTTGTTGTCAACTGGAAGACTTCTACCGATCCCCAAGAGGCCACTTTGCAGCTGCAAAATATTCATGACCTGGGCTTGGGAAGAAATCACTTGCCGCATGCCTGCTTTGACCCCAGCTTCTGGAAGAGGAGATGACCTCCTTTCAGACTTTGGCCCTTTCCTTGAGACCAGCCACCTGGGCCTTGCCCAGGCCGGAGTGCACAGGGCGGTGACTGATTCGATTGGTCACCAGGACGCCCTCGTCGTGTTTGCACTTGGCTGTTCTCGGCTGTGGCCAGCCTTGAGGCCTGCCCCGTTCTGAAAGCCGCGCGGGGTTGAATTCACCTGCATAGCCTCCGATTTGTTCGCAAGGCGCGGCTTTGCCTAGCAAAGTCCCAGCTCCAAGCCCATGGATTGTTCGTCGAAGAGCTGCAAAATGAAAGGCTGAAAGTGGCGAAGTGCATGTGCCAGCCACCATTTTCATGTTTCCAGGGGCCGGTGGGGACTTCTAAGGATACATGCAAGGCGCCCTGCGCACAACAGGAGGCCCTGTCGCAAGTGCAACAATGCCAGCGACGGAATTTGACACAACGATCTGGCCGCTGACCTGCCGCCGATTGGCCAGGACAATAGGTCGGCGGCGGCAGTAAAGCGTCGAAAGATTCAGCTTGCAAGATGTCAGGATGTCTGAAGGCTTCGACTTGCGCAGGTCTTCGCTGTCCAACCCCGGCCATTCTGGCCCTTGCTTCACAAGGGTGCCAGAAGATGGTCGACTTTAGCTTCCCACATCCCGTGATCCTACGGCACCACGGTGAGATGTCACGTGCACAAACCCTTGAGCCCTTGTGAGCAAAAATAATTATACCGCTATACCTATTATACGTCTACATACCTTCACATGAACATCTTTGTGAAACCAAGCGTGATACGTTTTGTGCGCGGCTCATGTTTCCCGCTAGCCTTTGCGCATGGAGGCCAGAGCGCGGCAATGTTGCTCAGCAAGATGATGGTGTAAAGGTTGGGCCCCTTTTAAAGGAGAGGAACAAGGTGTGAATGAAAGCGAGGTGATGTATGGCCGGCCAACTCTGAGTTTTTTGTTGTCCTCCTTGGGCAGCGCCCTGCATCATCTTTGCAGCGCGACCTTCCAGACACATCCGCGCTGAAAACAAAGCCAAGTGGGAAAGACCAGGCAAGGGTGGCTAGAGCATGGAGCTCTGAGCTCAGGAGTCAGGGCGAGCTTGTTTTGAGTTTCGGTGCGAGGCCTGTAGGTGTTACACATGCAGTTTTGCAATATGTTGCAACAGGCAGGCTTGGGTATGGTTTGCTTTTCCCGCAGCATTTAGCATAGCTATTGGCAGCCGGTTTTTCGTGGAGCACGTTGCCTGTGACCCAGATGCATCATGATGCACGCCTCTTTGGGATAGTAAATTGGTAGCCAAGCTGCCAAGCTGTGCAAGAGCATTTTGGCCTGTTGAGGGTTTCAATCGGTCTCACGAAAGAAGCAGCCTGGTCACTCGCACTGCTGTTGCTGACTGATCTTTGGACATGTGTTGCTTGCTACCAGGGCCTTGGTAGCTTGAAGACTCGAAGATGTCTTGTTCCAGCCCTGGGAATTTGGGAGCCTTTCGCCTGAGGTCCCGTGAGTCCGACCTGCTTCGTCATGGACGCAAGCAGCTCTTCTGGAGTGGGGCTTGCAGGTCACCTGGACCCGTGCTTTGACTGTTTCTCCCCGAAAACCGTGGGTGTTTGATTGCTTTTGAGCGTTGTGATTAAAGGGGGGCCAAGGGGGGAAGCCGCCTTTTTGCTGTGAGGGGGGCAGGGGGGTTCCGCTATTTCAACACTACGCACACACACACATAGCCATCTCAGTGCCCGTGTAAGTTGCCGTGCAACCATGATTGGCGTACGGTTGCTGGCGAATTATTGCAAGCTCAATTCGGACTTTGGATCCTTGTGTCAGTTTAGTGAATCATGAAGCCACACCCAGATGGGGATGCAGGAAGTGCGCCCCATGATGATCGGGTACAGAAGGTGCAGGCTTGAAGCGGGCAAGCCCCGCAACCTTAAACTCAAATAGGTCGGGGGAGGGGTTTGTGTCCATTTTGGCTGGGGAAGACTGATGGAATTGGAGAACAGGAGAAACGCTGCATGAATGCTTCCCAACTCC